CCTTCATTCAGAAAATCACCCATAAGAGAAGGATCCAACAAGAGTACACTAGAGGAAGGCGTGAAAACTATCCAGAAAGATGATACGACTGATCATAGTGACAAGAAGCCCAAGAGGAACAGTACACCCAACACAGTGACCCAAAAACTATTTCAGATGTCATGGATTTGAACATGATCCCAATATTTTTTATATGTAAGAATTTATGAAGTTGACACCACTATTTGAAAATTTTAATCCCCGGCAACGGCGTCAAAAACTTGATCCCGATATTTTTTATATATAAGGATTCATGAAGTTGACACCACTACTTTAAAATTTTAATCCCCGACAACGACGCCAAAAACTTGATCCCAAGCAAAGTAAGATTTAAATTATATTTTTAAATAGTATGGATTCTATGCAAGTATACGTATCGTTATCAAGTAATATAGGATTTTCTGATTAAGCCTCGAATATCGATCCCACGGAGATCGAGGTTAATCACGACGGTTTTCAAGAGAAGTTCAAATCTAAAATAACACACCCTAGCTTGGAAGGTTGATAAAGGTTTGGTTTGATTTTTCCTACAACTATCACTACAATACTACTTCTACTTCTAAACTTAAATACTTAGTAAAATTTGAAAGTGGGTTTAACATATTAAAAGTATTCTTCCTCGTGCAATAAAATTAGTGACATATGAGTAAAACAAGTAGTGAGAGAGATTGTGACAAATAGAAGCAATTATATTCTTTACCCTTGCTCCTATATATATGGAATGTATGGAATGTAATTTTAGTAGTAATAGCTCTAGTGACAGAAGTGTGACTTTGGGTGATCAAATTATTAAAAGGTGTGAACGATTTAGATATCTTGGGTCCGTTGTCCAAAGCGATGGTGATATAGATGGGGAATTAAAGTGCTTTAGGCTGTCACACTAAAGTCCTCTAATTCTACACCCATCAAATATTATTTCCCTATTTATTTGCACTCAACCATATGTACTACATTCTCATCCATACAATCTCATGCGATTCTACTACAGTTGATTGAGACAATACAATCAAGGTTCTTACAAGTTCTCACAACAGATTTTAACATGCAAGTTGATCAAGTTTACATGTAAATGAAGAACAAAATAAAATTATCACAATATATTCTCACTCTACTAAATTTTATATCATACACATGCATACTAATTCATTACAAGAGAGAAGAGTAAAGAAAACTACTCACTATACATGGAGAAACAACAATAACTTTCATTAAACAAGACTTCAAAATCATGCATATAAAGTACTAGATTCAAATAAAAATACAATGAAAATACTTATCTTTGATGGAAATCAAACTCTCCTTATATAGAAAAAGCAATATCCTTACAATCCTTAGAATTATATAGAAAAAGCAATATCCTTACAATCCTCTCCAAGAACAAAGTGAAAAGAAAAGAAGAAATCTCTCACTCTCTCTTTTTCTCTCTCACCTTATCGCCCCCCTTGGGCCTCACGCCCAAGCCTTCTTCTCCTCTTGCAATTAATTCAAGAGTCCAAGAGTTCTTTTAAAAGCATTTCTAAGCCTTAATTATAATTTCCCAAGATTTACTTAAGTGTCTATTCAAAAATGTCTAAATTCATTGAATCTTCCAAAATGTGTCTCAAGTGTCTCTTCAAAACCACAAATAACCGCCCCAAATGCTTCTAGAAAGTCTCTTTTATCATTTCTAATGAATTTCCCAAGAGACACACAAAGCACCGCTTCAAAAATCGTCCAAATTCGATGTATATTCTAGAAGATACGTTGAAAAAATATGCTGAAAACTGTTTTTGGCGCTTAAGCGCCCTCTTCTCTATCTAGTGGTGCCTAAGCGCCATTTTGGGTGCTTAAGCGTCGGGCACAGGCACTTCAGTGCCCTGTTTCGGCCCTCATAGCTCTGGTGTGGCCCGATTCGACCCGATTTGCTCCGTTTTGATCCATTTTTGTTATTTTTGATCCAATCACTCCAAATTCTTCAATTTGATGTATCTACAACCAAAAACACAAGAAAACATACATTTAAAGTGCAATATCATTATAAAATATAGCATAAAAAATAGTACATTTTTAGAAACATCAGAATACATCACCTTAAGTTGCCCTGTTGCTACAGTTATCTCTTTTACTGAACAAGGAGCAATAGAAGAAGTGGATAGTGATGGTAGAGACAAAGGATAGTGAGGATGTGCAGGATTACCAGATTCTAGGTGATGAGGGTGAGATGCTTGTGGTCAATAGATTCTTCAGATTGAGACTACGAGAGAGCGGTAGTAGCTTAGCTATAATATCTTTTAAACCTGTTACACTGTAATGGAAAAGGTGTGTAGCCTTATTATCAAAAAAGGTAGTAATAAGAATGTAGAGTCAATAGAGATAGTGGATAAGTTGAGTCTTTCCATTCAAACTCATTCCTAGTGATATTCTTTGAATTGGTTGAAGAAGGAGAACTGGGTTAGCATTAAAAGAAGATGCCTTGTGGAGTTTTCTATTGGGGACCAACTGCAAGATTAAGTGTGGTGTGATGTGTCCATTGATGTCTATCATATTCTGTTGGGGAAACTGTGACAGTTTGATCGCAGACCTCGGTATGATGGGTTCAAGAACACCTACTCATTCGTAAAGAATGGAAAGCACATAGTTCTTATGCCTTCTATGGAATACCTAATCATACGTAAAGAATGGAAAGCGCATAGTTCTCATATCTTCTATGGAGTTAGAGGTTATAGGTGCTCTTGTCAGCGTAGAGGCGCCAATGGGATCAATTTTAGTGATATTAGAGGATAGTGAGATAGAAGATCCAATATATGACGCAAGACAACCAGTACGGAGAGAGTTTCATGATATCCTGACAGACAACTTCCTATCAAGGCCACCAATGTCAAGGAGGTTCAATCTGTTTCATTTCGGAGAGGGATGAGCCAATCTTGGGCTACTTTTCGAGGACTCTGTGGAGTAAATTTGACACGACGTTTCAGTTCAGCTCAACAAGGTATCCAAATATGATTGGATAAACAGAGTTGGTTACTTAAAATTAGAGAACCCTTCTCAGATGTTTTGAGTGGCAGTGCATCTGACAGTGAGATCCAGATGCTTCTAGAAGCGCCGTCGAAGACCTTCCAACCCCAAGAGATTACAGAATTACTACCACCCTAAACGCAACCAATCGACTCCACACCATGAGGAGACAGAAGCTTCGACAAACTCCCCCAACCTTGGGAGACTGATGCCGGGGCACCTGAGGAACCCTAGACCGATTCGGTCCAAGAGTTGGGAGGGATCGGCTGGCCCTCCAACCTTAGGGAGTGTTGCCCAATGGAGTGGGCCCACTTCTAGTTGCCCTAGTATTATTTATTTGCTTTTCTGATGTTCTAGGGCTAGTTTTTGTTGTGTTTGTTTCAAGACAACCATCGGCATTTCCCTTTTCCCTTCTAAGGTTGTATCCAAGAGTTTTAAGTGATGCTTCAGTTGTATTTCATTCCCGAGGTGGTGTTTATCCTTCTAATATCATTCCCCCATCACTTTTCCGCACTGGCTTCCTTCCCCTAGCCGCTACACCATTTCATTGTTCCTAGAAAAGCTGCCACAACAGTTGTTTTCCTCAGATCTACTGCCCGCCAACTCTCTGAACAACCATTCCAGCCAACCTCCCCCTCCATTCTAGTTGCCACCTACCCAAAATAGCATACATATTGTTTCTGCCCTCCATACCTGTTGATGTCTACCTAGAAACCGCAATATGTTGTTTTATTTCCCTCCGTTCTTGTTGTCGCCACCTTTCAAACCCCCTCGTCAACACTACCGCCTCCCTAGGTTCACCCAAGTCTAGGTTGCGTGTTGTGTTTGTTAAAATTTCAGATTCCACCTTGTGTTGTTGTAATTCACTATTTGAATTCAGCAATAATACCATTGGATATTTGTTAAATCTCGATATCAGTTCAATCATTGACTAAGCAAGGCTTCTTGTACTCTAAATATTTATGATATTGTATGAGCAAATATATTTGTCTTTTATCTGTCATGCATGTTCATAGAAATTTGTGTAAGATTTATTCATGTTCCATCATTTGCCCACACCAAAATAGTTAGGATAATGATGATACCTACAATCCCATCTAAGTGGCATTCATGTCATCTAATTTAAAGATCTCCTTGATAGTGTGTAGATTAATTTTGAAATATAGATTTTCCTTTCAGTGCTACATTTTTGCTAATGCACAACCTCACTCCTGAAGGGCTTCCTCAAATATTTGTTCTTGATAAATTTTTGGGTTTAATCTTAAGTATATATAATTTAGTCAAGAAATTCAATGGCCCAAATAGTTTTAGACTTCGAAGAACAAACACACATGGTACTCTAGTCCAACAAAAACTCATGAAAGAGCATGGAATAATATTAAGTGCTCCTATTATATGACTTTTTAAACTAAACGACAACCATCACTTTGCGCGACCATAGACGCGGGCTTGTTTAAGCCAAACCACATAAGACTTCATGCTTTCATATTGATGGTAACTGGATTTCTTTTGCTATTACATCATGGTTCATCTTATTGGCCTCTGGAGAAGCTTCATAAGGTTTGCAAACAATTTGCTTAGTCATTAGTCATCGGATAAATTTTGGACATGTTTTCCAATCTTAAAACAAAACTTTCCATAAATAATTGGTAAAAAATTTACTTTAATTTGAATGTATTTTTTAGTAGGTTGCATTTATCAAGGGAAAAATCAAAAGAAGCGCAGTGCAAAATCAAAAATTTCTCTGCTTGACACAATAATCTCTGCCTATTCTTGTAGCAAGATGTAATTTACAATTATGCATTTAAGGTTCAAGTATTAAAAATTTCCAGAAAGAAGTTGGTTCCAATTAAGTCCAACTTAATCAAGGAATCCAAACATTTAGCCAAACAACCAAAAAAAATCTGAAAGGGAAAAAAGAATAATTTTATGAATTTTCACATATGATGCAAATCTTAAGATTTTACCATATCCCGTCCTTCTCCCTGATGTGATCTGAGCCTGTTCCAAAGCTTTCTTCGCCACATATAGACAAATTCCCAGCATCCATCAGGTTACCAAAGAATTTCCAACCAGTGGGAACCTGTTCAAATTAAAGTTTACTCAAAGCTAATTCAAATATTTTTTTTGTAATTTCTTCCATTATTTATGTATTTATGCATCAAGTAATTCTAAATCAATTGGCCAAAAAAAAAACCCAAAACAAAAACAGATTATAAAAATAATAAACCTCGTAGAAGGGAAGCTTCAGTTTTGCAGCAACATGATCAAGAGCACCACTTGTAGGCATTGACCTAGCAAGTCCCTGAGAGGAATTTTAAATAAACAATTTGATTAGTAAAAAACTATGCAAATAAAGATGAAATTCATACATCAATAAATTTACATTTCAAAACCTTTGGACCATTCTGAAAGTAAGGAATTGCCGCTTGTGCGTTAGCTGCAATAATAGCCACAGAATCTGATGGAGTGACAAAAAATCCTCTCCCAAGAATCATGTTCCGGTCACCATCACCTGTCAAGAACAAACACTTCAAAGAAGCTTAGTCATGCCAAGCAAACAAAGGAGTAAATTGCCAAAATAACCCCTAACAATTTGTAGTGGGTTATTTCAGTCCCAAAGTCTATAACAATGTTAATTTAGTCTTCATACTTTTATACCAAATTAACGTTATTATAGACTATGGGACTAAAATGTCCTCCGGCAAACAATTGGGGGACAATTTTGACACTTTTCGACTTATCAAAGATAGACGTTTTCTGCCATAAACAAGCACATTAAAAGAAAATTCAAATATTCCATTGTCAAGATCGTTGTACATACCATCACTTGCTGCTCCTAAATCAGGTGCATTCTCACCATACATAATGCTAACTAGTTCCTTCGCATACCTTGTGCATAATATGTATGAAAATGATGCCATGTTAAAAAATAAATTTAAAGAGAATTCCTTTGCATACCTTGGTGCATAATATATGATGAAATGATGCCATTTAAAAAAAAGTATATAAAGAGATGATATTATTCAAGTTTCTTACGTAAGATTAGGGTCTGGATGGCCATGGCCAAAATCTAACAAAGGTATTCCATTTAAAATGCAATCCTGCGGTCAGAAAATTATTTTAGAGATGAGGAAACAAGTATGAACAGCTTATGAGAATGGAAATAAAAGAACAGGAATCAAACCACATTTGCGCCAAGCCGATCCACAAAAATAGGTTTTGCATACGCACCCGTCACTGCATGCATAGCATCGAATAAAAACCTACAAGATTATTTACATCAGTTAGACTAAGAACTGCTTATTTCTCCCAGGGTACCATATTGCTGAGGTTGCAAAAATAATAAAATCCAAAAAACAAAAGTAAAAAATTCTACAAGTAAACAGGCATCACATTGTACTAAACATAAGAAAAAACAATCTCAGTAAATAATATGAACGAAAGCAAAATCACTCATGTATAGATAAATCAAGCATTTTATATAAGGCTCGAAAAAAAAAGGTTCACAACACATTGCATACTTAAGGTTGAACGTTTCAAAGGTTATGGCCATAAGGACCAATAAAAATTGTTGAAAGATGGCTTTCTAGTGATTATATAGAATTCTTATATGAAGAATGTCATACCTGAAATCTGGCCTAGAAAGAAGATTTTTCATGAGCTCGAAATCAAAAACATTCTGAATAAGTCAAAGAAGAAACTTTCTAAGGTATGATATAATAACATTCCAAATATGCACAAAATTTCCAGTTTTTACAATTACCTCCAACAGATCCAGATAGTCTGCCACTGGATCTATCACCTCAACGATGAATTTACCAAAGCTTGCAACTCCGAGGCAAGAAAGATCAACATCTGGTATTTCAGCTATTTTTATTTCCGAAATCTGCGGAACAACTTTAAGTGAAATATTGCACAGAAACTGAGCAGCATGTTATTGATGCAAATTATTTGGTCACTAGAAAAGCATAAAGTTTAGCAAGTAACGGTAGAATATCTATTCAAGGATAGTATTCCACGGAATAAAAGGGAGAAGTGAAATTTTTGTAGCGCCTGATCTATAAAGACCAGGAGCTTTATATCACTCCAACAAAAAACTGATCTATGAAGTCATTGTTTTGTATACTGTTTGTAACTTCATATTTGGTGGATTAGATTCTTTTTCTTCCCCTGTAGACTGATATGCTCCAGAACCAAAACCAGCAAACAACATCGACGAAACAGCAATAGATAGATGGAAACAATTCGAGTAGACTGATACGCTCCAGAACCAAAACCAGCAAACAACATTAACGAAACAGCAATAGATAGATGAAAACAATTCAAGTAGGGGCTGCTCTTCCCAAACGGAAACAAAACAAGCAAGATAGAAGGATGATCTACTTTTCGAGAGGTAGATCAGTTGTCCTACAACCATACATGTCGCTAGGAATACCACAAGAAGAAGAAAACACTGCAGCCCACAAAACACGCATAAAAAAACAAACCCTAGGTTATTCCCCTAAATAAAATCCTCCCGTAGTATTTCAAATTGTTCTTCAAAACTTTCCCTCCAAACTCCATTAATTTCTCCACTTTGAGCATGATTAAGGCTCTAGTGGACCCCACGTGCTCCCTACCTTCTTTGACCGCAGCAAACTGCCGCCTCATCCCTTCTCGTGGAAAAGATCGGCCCTCGTGTTGTTGCATTGGGACAGTTGGGCGGCACTGAACCGGTCCATCCGGGACCGGTTCGCCTACAGGCGTAACAATAATCTCCTCCCAAAGAAAGATCTTGTCCTCAAGGTGGAAGGCTGGAAACTGCTTGTGGAACACCACATAAGGCTCCCACGTTGCTTCATAGTCTGGCAGCCCATTCCACTTAGCCAACACCTACATTGCTCCCCCTACTCCTCCGCACACTCCTTCGATCTCTAGCAACTTCAAATCACCTCCAAGTCCTCTGTCAGCATCGACAGTAGTGTAGACAATGGTGTATGATCTCCAACCGCACGTCTCAGCTGTGATACATGGAAAACCAGATGTAATGCAAATGATAGTAGCAACATCAAACGGTGGGCCATTGCTCTGATACGTGTCATCACGTCATAAGGTCCAAAGTATCTCAGTGAAAGTTTCGCGTTCCTAGCCAAAGTATTCTATCGGTAGTCCCACCCCCCATCAAGTAGACCATGTCAAATATTTCAAATTGCACATATCTCCTATGTTCATCCGTTTTCCTCTTCATGATTTGTTGATCATGTCCCTCTTCTCCAAATACTAATCGATGTTTGATACTGGTGTAGCGTTGTTCCCATATTGTATCGAGCAACGTGGATCCCACACATACAATATCCTAAAACAGGAGGTTTGTGTTGCGGTGTGGTACGAAGCATTATACTAATATTCAACCCTCGCAATCCATTTGACCCATAACTTTGGCATATCAAATACAAAACAACGCAAGTATGTGCCCATCGATCTAGGGATGATATGTGGTGCTTCTCTTAAGGATTGCAACATGAATAGCTCTTTATAGAAATGGTCAAGGAACATCTTGTTCCTATCCGAAACAATCGATTTCAGTACTTCGTGCAAATGGACTACTTCTAGGATAAATAACTTCATGACTGAGATCGCAATGTAGAGATGTCGTATGAGAATGAAATGTGCATACTTACTCAGGCGATCCCGGACCACCATGATCATCGTGAACCCTCCTGAGTGTGGTAACCTATCGATAAAATTCATCGTCACTTCTTCCCAAACCTTCCCCGATGATGTTAATGGTTTAAATAACCCTCCTGGTGTCGTGGTCATATACTTGTGTCACTGACGCATATCATATTTTGCCACCATGTCCTCCACGTCATTGTGCAATCCCTACCCAATAAAGCTCTATCGTCAAATGACTGCAAGTATTTTGCACCCCTGAGTGTCCCCTGATCATACTCTTATGAAACTCCTGTAATAATCTAAGAATATACTCTGACATCTTGGGTAGCACAAATCGCCCCTTGTGGAGCAATTGTTTCCCCCTCAATGCATATCTTGAATGACTGTTCGGATCTTGTAGTAACTCGGCCCTTATTTTCTTCAGCTCCTCACTCAAGGCTTCCAAATCTCGGACCAAAGGTACTGATAAGGCCGTTAGTTGGAGTTCCTCCTCCTTTCTTGACAATGCGTCGACTGACTTGTTCTTCAGTCCTAGCCGGTACTGAATCTCGAAATCATACCCCATTAGCTTAGATAGTCATCTCTGATGTTCCCCAGTCATCATCCGTTGCTCCAAAATATAATTTAAACTCTCCTGATCTATCCTGACAAAAAAATGTCGTCTCAATCGACAGGGTCGCAATTTCTGACTGGCCAAGACAATCACCATCAATTCTTGTTCGTATACTACTTTAGCCTCTCTCTGGCCATAAAAACTTGGTTGAAGTAGGCAATCAGTTGTTGGTCCTACATGAGCAGTGCTCCTAATCCGTACCCTAACATATATGTTTCCACCACAAATAGTTTACTGAAACATGGAAACGCTAATATCGGAATGCTAGTCATGGCCCTCTTCAAATGTTCAAATGTCTGTGTTGTTGCTTCCTCCCATTTGAAATTGTCTTTCTTCAACTGCTCCGTCAGTGGTCATGTCATCATGTCATATCATTTCACAAACTTCTGATAGTAGCTGGTTAGACCCAGGATCAACTCTTTCAAACTCCCTAGTAAGGGCCAATCAGTCATAGCCTCGATCTTGGACTGATCCACAACTACCCTCGTTCTGATCACCACATGTCATAGGTATTCCGCCTGAAATTGTGCAAAAGACCATTTCTTCCAAGTTGGCATACAAGTGGTGCTCCCTCAACGTCTCCAGGACTATCCTTACGTGTCTCACGTGCTCTGTCTCTGTACGACTGTAAACCAGAATGTCATCAAAGAAAATCATGATAAATTTATGAATGAAAGGTTGAAAAACCCTATTCATGAGAGATTGAAATGTCACGGGGCATTAGTGAGGCCAAACGACAACTCTAATAACTCATCATGTCCTTCATGTGTCTTGAACCTTGTCTTGTGCACATCCATCGGATTCATCTTGATCTGGTGGTATCCCAACTTAAGATCAATTTTTAAAAAAATGACTTCCCCATAAAGCTCATCCAATAACTCATCAATCATGGGAATAAAAAGCTTGTCCAACACTATCATCTTGTTTAAGGTCTGGTAGTCCACACAGAATCTCCAACTTTTATCTTTTCTTCACCAACAGAACGGGACTAGAAAACGTTCTCACACTAGGCCTGATAATCCCAACCTCGAGTAGCTATCGAATCAGTTCCTCTATTGCATCATTCTAAATCTGGGGGTACATGTATGGTCTGACATTAATGGGGAAAACACCCTCATTTAATGTAATAGTGTGCTCGTGCTCCCTCGGGGCAGGGAACCCACTTGGCTGTTGGAAGACATCAATAAACTGTTGTAAGAGTTGTTAGACCCCTTCATAAAACTCTACCAACTCTGAATCTCAAATCACTTCAATGCTCTGCAACTCTACCAAATAGTCTAGTTATGTTCCTCAAATCGAATTGACCATGGTTTTGAGCAACATCATTTTACATAAACTAGCATCTCCTCCCAGCATCATCTTTCTACCCTAAACTTGGAACTCTATCGTCAGGGACTTACGTTCCACCTTCAACTCCCCAAGCATTTGTAGTCACTTGACACTTCATCCCTAAAAACACATTTGTGCTACCCAAATCTAAGGGAAATCCTCCACCATTTATAGGTCATATAATGTCATAATCAACCCCTTCCAAATTCCCTGACTTTTCTCCATCTTCCCTGTCACCACTATCTACCAACATTAAAATCGATTGTTCCCCAATCCACCCCTTCACCTTCATGGTATGATTCGGGGTAAATCCTACCACCAAATTGAAGGACACCTTCACCGCATCCAAATGCAGATGTTCCTCCTCTGATTCCTTACTCTTCATATCCTTCTCTTGAACAAAAAGAATCTGAAGGGAGTGCTACTTGTAACGATGGCCTGGGGCATATTTCTCGTCACAACAGTAACAAAAATCACTTGCTCTTTTATCCTGCACTCTGCATTTGTGAAACTCTTGAAATTACCCCTCCGGGATGGGTCCCTGTATTCTTCTCCTTTAGCGTCTCTTTTTGAAATGAAATTGTTTGGTTTCTCGTTGTCGTGACTGTCACGGTGCTCTTGTAGAATACTCCAGTATTGTCGCATTTCCTGTTCTTTTTCACTTGTTTCTTATCCTCTATCATCTAGGCAAACTCTATCATTTTCCTCAATCCTCACAACCTCAAGGCCCGAATGGCTGCTTGCATGTCGGGCTATAGGCCTTTCAAAAACTTTCTTTCCAGTCCTGTTGCAGAAATCCCCCTAAACCTCCCTAACAAGAGCTTAACTTCTCTCGGTATTTCTTAATTGTCCCCCCTAAGTCAGAGCTTGTTGTTGACCTCATTTCTGGATGAGGTCTTTTTTGTCTCTCCTTAGAGCGTAGGGTCTAGCTTTAGGCTTTCCCCGTTCGATTCTCTTAGAGGACTAGTACAGAACCCACACCATTTAGAAAATTCAAGCCACATCGTCACTCCTTCGCGTTTCATCCTCGGCATACCGTTGAGTTGATTAGAATCGACACATAAAACTCGAGTTGAATTTCTACATTAATAGGAGCAGCCCCTAGGGAACCCCTTAGCGACCCAAACACTCGATAGCGCCGCTTTTTGTGCACTCACTGCACCACACACGATTTTGACTTGATTTGACTTGTCCGCCGGCAAACTCGTCCGGACCACCCCGGATGACGAAACAAACCACGCCGACGCGTCCGGAATGTCGACTTTAGCTAAGGACACCCATATCTCTAT